CAAATGTTATAGCATAGAATCATCCAGCGATCACAAACATATACCCAATGAACATTCATAGCACAACTTATACATATGTTTTGCGAGGGTCTCCCTAACTAACTATCCCAAAGGTCAACGCTCCTTATCACTCTAGGCTCCGACCAACTTGGATCGAGCTGACCTTGCTTTCATACCAAATCAATGGGGATGTCACGCCCCAATCCCTACGGGCACGCGTCATCCCGCCACGGTCGTCATTCGTGAGACATCCTAAGATATGTCACCAACCCAAACTAACGAACTAAAGAGCAGCACACGCGGAAGCAATATCGAACTCTCCATAAAACATCAATTAAACGAGATAGTAAAGAGACAATGTAATTACATCCACAAAAACACTTTTATAAACAAAGCATTACTTACAAAATACAATTGCACAAGGTATAAGCCTTACTACAGGCCACTATCTAGGCACCACACATAACAAAAAGGGATCGATGGTTGGTTAACCTAGCTTCTCTACCAAAAAGGATACCTAAAAGACGAGGGACTAGACCTATCTTCAACCATCACGGAACCTTGGCGGCATCCGCAGATCTTCCATATCATCATAAGGCTCAGGGGTCTAAAATGGTTATAATTCAACAATGAGAATAAATCTCAATAAGTCACTGCCTAAGCCTCGCTTAGGCTAACGCATACCGTAGGATAGTTTAGAGATTGCAATTCCAACAATCAACATGCCACATCAATCACAGGTGACCTTACCTCGCCTTGGCACACGCACACGCCCTGCACGTTAGTAAACCGCCACAACATGACAACCATTCATCGAAACATAATAGCCCGAATCGAGGCAAGCACATGCATAGCACACTTAATAATCCAGACATGCTCAACATTATCTCAAACATGGCATTCTATAATGCGGATCACACTCACGAAGTCCAGATTATTAACGGCCGAACCCGAGTAAAAATGCATCAAGTTGTCAAGCTCCCCCGAACCCGCGTAAGATGCATTAGGTTGTCGGGCTTCCGGTGTAACCGGACATGCTCAACATTATCTCAAACATGGCATTCTATAATGCGGATCACACTCACGAAGTCCAGATTATTAACGGCCGAACCCGAGTAAAAACGCATCAAGTTGTCAAGCTCCCCTGAACCCGCGTAAGATGCATTAGGTTGTCGGGCTTCCGGTGTAACCGGGTATCGTCCCGTTACGTCGGCGACAGCATCTTCTCGCGTCACACGCATCAATATGGCATTCCATGAGGAGCATCAATCTAGCCTCCACCGTGATTGGCATCCTGTCACCCACTGGGCATCCGATAAATCGGGCATCGTCTCACGTAAAACGCATCAAGACGGGTTACAACCCCGCGTAAAGCGTCTCAGGGTATTATATGAGCATACGGGCATTCAACACTCAAACCAATTTCTCATCTTTCGATTAGCTAATTGCCATTTAATTCATGCTCAGCTCATAATCAGCCACGCCTTCACGGGCAACAACGACATTAAAAAGCTTATGAGAGTGAGAAACCACTTTTGCATAGAATCGGGCTGAAATTTGGGAATTGTGCAGTAACCGAAACCCTTTCGAAATAAATAGTAATTAAACTCCAAAAATCCTAAATTTTGGATATGTCATTGGAAACATCTTGATAAAAATTTTTCATGAAGGACACGAAATCCAATTCTAACTGTAAAAAATTTGTCCACAAGGGCAGGCTGTTTGGCCTTCAAAATCTATTTCAATCAGTACCCAAATATCCTTGGAAAATATTGAAATTTTTATATGTTATAGAAACCAGTGTCCTTGACAACTTTCATGAAGGAATTTTATTGAAAATAGGTCTGAAAATTGTTATAAAAATTCAGAAAGACACGCTAGTCGGGTGAACAGTAATTCGGTAGAGTTGTGACAGTCCGAAAATGGACTTTCGAATAACCCAAAACGGTCTCCAAAAATTCCAGATTTAATATATGACATACTTCAAGATGTTAGGGTCAACTTTTATGAGGAACACCTCCTCAAATTCGGTCCACATTGATCTCCACAAAAATAATAAAAAAATAGGGCACCTCAGGAGTCAAATCCGAGAAATATCTTAGCAGCCACAAATCATTAATCAAGCACAACCAGCCATCAAACCAACTCTAATCAACCCCTAATCAGGCCCTAAACATACCATTGATAATCCATTATCCTAATCAAGGCTTAGGGAGTACTTACTAGAAGCCTAAGCTTAAAACCAGCAAGATCAGCCCAGCAAGTAGCTGCTGTTCCGGTAGCCGAGCGGGAAGAACGGCGGCAGATCCAATCACGGCGGTCCACGGCTGAGGCGAGCACAAGTTGGTGGTCACGGTGAGGGGTGGTGTTGGCTTTGGTGGTGGCTGGTGAGGTCGGAAAACAGCAAGGACAGAGAGGGAAAGAGAGAGGAAGAAGAGATGGTGGCGGTGTAGTGCGGGATCGGCGGCTGGCGGTTGTTCCGGTGGCTTCATGGTGGCTGGTGGTGGCTGAGAAGGGTTGAGCAGAACAACAAGGTGGAGGGGGAAGTGCTCGGCCGAAATGGAAGGCAAGGGAGGAGAGAGAGTGAGCATGAGAGAATGAGGGAAAGAGAGTGAGAGAGAGAAGACAACATGATCAGATTTTTCTACTAACCCCACTATCAAAGCCCCATCACCCACCCCCACTCACCAATCCAAGGGCTAAGATAAAACTTCCCATCTCATCATCCAAATCTAATGGTCAAGATTGGTGAACTCCATTAATTTCTAGGGACAAAAGAGGAAATGAGCAAGAGGAGAGAGGGGCATGATGGTCCAATAGTTTCGGCCAGCATGGGACAACAACTTTACCAAAATGCCCTTCCACTTTTCAAATGAACTCAAATAATCTTAAGGGCAAAATGGTCATTTTCCACTCCAAATCCAAATTTCACTTTTCCGATAAATCCGATTGGCCCTAAGGTTGGCCATGCAAAATGTGACGTCGTCTAATGAATTAGTCGTGGCTGTCAAGAAATTCGATTCATAAGTCTGGATTCCAAGTAATGATCAAATTCGATTAAATGCAACTTTAGTGTGTCTCAAACTAACGGGTGGCTTTTAAGAGTTACGCGTATTGACTCGTGGCCGATTCGATATCGGGCCACATCTAAGTTTACTCGAGCCATGGTGACCTCGGTTATTATGTAATTGCGAGGGTCAATCCCTAGTTCTAATTGACGCGATCATTCGGATTAGGTTTAGGATAGTTCGAAATTCATATAATGGTCAAGCGGAATCACCCGCGATCCAATTTTATATCTTTTACGAATCGTTCCGTAGCCATCCTTGGATCGGTCTATAATGGCTCAAAATATTTCCTCGTCAATCCTTATGGTCGAAGTGTCGATCCACAGCCAAATTTTTAGGTCCACGTACTCGATTCCTAGCTAGCTATTCCCTAATGGTTAGTCTTTACGAGAGTGATCAATTCCGAGTGAGATTTAACTAAAGTGCATCGATGAGATAATCATTTCATAAATCTCGAAAATTGGTCGAATTTCAGAATGTCACAAAACCAAATGTTATTCTCTGCGTATTAAAATAGGCGAGCTAGAATTAGGATGTCACAGAAGTCGACCAAGGTAGAGGGCAACAGTTTGCTCCTCGGGCTCAAAGATATCACAAAGCATCATGAGGTGACCAAACTCCGCTTATATTCTTCCACGAACAACTCCTTTTGTTTGAGGTTTTGAAACTGAAGGAAGGTGTCTTGTCGATAGTTCGTCGGTAAGAACTTCTTCTTCAATTCTTTCCTCATCTTTTCCCAAGTTACGATACGACTTCTTCCTTCACGAGCTCTTTGCTTCTTCAAGTGCTCCCACCAAATAGACGCATGTTTTTTTGAGCTTGATGGCGAATAGCTTCACCTTCCGATCAGTTGGTATATCTTTGTAATCAAAGACTCTTTCAACCGCGTGTAGCCATTCCATGAATTCTTCTGGTTGCATCTTCCCTTGAAATTCATGAATTTCAACCTTCAGATAGGAATCTTACTGACTTTCATGGAACATTTGATACTGACGTCGAGGAAGTCCCTCCTCACTCGAAGCATGACTTCGAGCACTAGCGATAGGGTTAACATCCTCTTCATTAGAGAGAGCATCTTTTGAATCGTGACGTAAATCATCACGTTCTAGAAGTTTGAAGCGTTGCAAACGCTCCTGCAGTTTCTGCACTTGTCTCCTTAAATCATCCACCTCCACATCTCTTAGGTCTCTTTCTCGAGCTGTAGAAGACTCAACGTTTGGTCCACGTCGATGACGACCGACCATTGAACCGTGCTCTGATACCAATTTGATGCCGGAGAAAGCGTAGAGAAGTAGGAGGCAACACAAGTGAGAATTGAAATGGAAAGGTCGCTTGCCACCTTTCCATTTCAGTTCTTATAAGAGATAAGAGCAATACTCGCCACTCGTAGGTAATTAACCTAAGAGATAAGAGCAATACTCGCCACCCATAGGAATTCATCCAAGGGATAAGAGTAAAACAAGAACTCCTTCTTGTTCTCAAGCTAAAAGCTCAATTAGTTTTTATCAAAATATCTCTCCTTCTATAATTCATCATAGCATGTCTATATAGAGCATGGAACAACCCTCCAAGCTTGAGTAATTACTAAGACTCTTTGGAAAGACAAAAGACTCATAGAAAAGACAAACAACATTTACAACCATAAATAAATAAGGACTCTAGAAACTTGAACGACATTAGCTAGACCTTGAAAATATACGAGAATTAAATGTAACCGATTGAAGGTCTCCATGACTTTACCATTTCCAAAGTAGATAATTAATGGCCTTTGAAGGAACCGAACAGCCTTCGGTTCGTTGTGATCGAAGAGTTGACTTGGAATGACAATATCGACAAGAGCCGACTTCGTACCGATACTATCGACAAGAGCCAACTTGGTACCGATAATATCGACAAGAACTTGATGTCTCAAAAATGCTCCGGCATCAGGGAGCGCAGAAGATATCCTTGTAGGAGCGGACATCAGGGCCGTGCCATTTAGCAGTGAAGTTGAATGGGTCGGACAAGATGGCCAGTTTCCATGCTTGCAGGGCAATGTAGGCTTTCCTGAGCCTCCCATTCTCGAACTTGAGGCTTGGATCCAATTTGATGGCGGCCAAATCATCGCCACGTTCAACTTGAGCTTGGGAAGTACTGCTGAAAGCAAGAAGAAGCCATACAATCAAGAGGAGGGGACGAGGGAGAGACATTGGACAGAAGGATCGGAAAACTAGAAGCATGCATTGGGCATAGAGTGTGTAAAAAAACTGAGGAATTTTGGAATGAGAATTCTGTTCTTCATTGCCACAGAAACGTAACATATATACAAGAAGATACAGCTATCAAACAAACTCCTAATTACGCTAAACTACTAAAAATACAAGGATCACACAATAAAAAGTAATAAAAGATGTGCACACAAAACTTCCTAAGTAAACGGCCTAAATAAAAGCAGATCACAGCTGCCTTTCCAATACCCCCCCTCAAGTTGGAGCATGGGGATCTCGAATGCCCAACTTGCGAAGAATAAAGTTAAATTGATCCTTTCCCAACGCCTTCGTGAAGATATCAGCTGGCTGCATTGAACTACGTACGTAATCTGTTTGAATGTTACCATTAAGTATCTCATTACGAATAAAATGACAGTCCACTTCAATATGCTTGGTACGCTCATGATAGACAGGATTGGCGGCTATATGTAAAGCTGCCTGATTGTCGCAATACAAGTGCATAGGTTGAGAATGTGCCACACCAAGAGAATCCAATAATCCTTTCAACCACTTAAGTTCACAAACTGTAGTAGTCATAGACCTGTATCCCGCTTCAGCGGATGAGCGAGACACTATCTGTTGCTTCTTAGTCTTCCACGAGATAGGAGATTCTCCCAAAAGAACAAAGTAACCAGTCAAAGATCGTCTCGTCAAAGGACAACTAGCCCAGTCAGAATCGCAGTAAGCAGAAAATTTCAGGTCACAATTGGCACGCAACATAATACCCTAACCTGGATTTCCTTTCAGATAACGCAGAACTCTCACAGCTGCCTCCCAATGAGCTTTCTTTGGCCGCTACATGAACTGTGCAAGAATATGCACACAGTAAGACAATTCAGGTCGAGTTATTGTTAGATAAATAAGCCGACCCACTAGGCGCCTATACTGAGCAGGGTTGTCTACATCATCGCTCTCAGTAAGGGCTAGCTTGTGATTTTGTTCAAGAGGAGTTTTAGCCGGCTTGGAACCCAGTAATCCGACCTCAGAAATTACATCCAACACATACTTACGTTGACACAAGAAAATACCATCCGAGTTTCTCGCCACTTCAATCCCCAAGAAAAATTTCAGCTTCCCCAAGTCTTTCATACGAAAACAACGACTCAAATAGTTCTTGAACTTTTGCATAGCGGAAATATCATTACCGGAGATAATGAGATCATCAACATAAATAAGCACATTCAATTGAACAGTCTCAACTCGAAAAGTGAACAAGGAGTAATCTGAATATGATTGTTGAAATCCATAAGCTTTCAAAGATGCAGCCAATTTCGCAAACCAACATCTAGGTGCTTGCCGCAAACCGTATAGAGATTTCCGGAGTCTGCATACCTTCCCTGATGATTGAGAGGCAAAGCCAGGTAGCATCTTCATGTAAACCTCTTCCTCTAAATCGCCATGTAAGAAAGCATTTTGAACGTCCATATGATGAAGTTCCCAATTCTTTGCAGCCGCAACGGCAAGAAAGGTGCGTACAGTGCACATTTTTGCCGTAGGAGCAAAAGTCTCCTGATAATCTATGCCTTCAACTTGATTATTTCCCAGTATCACCAATCGCGCCTTGTATCGTTCAACACTTCCATCAGAATTGTACTTAATTTTATACACCCACTTGCTCCCAATTGCTTTCTTTCCAGGCAGCAAATTTTCGACTGTCCATGTGCCATTATCTTCTAAAGCCTGTATTTCTTTACTCATGACCTCTCTCCACCGTTCATCTTTAATTGCTTCCGCATAAGAGTTTGGTTCATGTCCTGCAGTAATTGCTGCCAAGAAACACCGGTATTGCGCAGAAAATTTTTCATAACTCACATAACGTGCTATAGAATAAGGCGTACCTGAGGAATCAGATTGGGTAGATGAGCATGTCGAGGGGCTTATTCTGATGGCGTTTGTCACATAATCTTTCAAACGAACAGAAGGTTGCTTGACCCTTTGTCCCCTGCCTAGCTGCTCTTCGACGACTTCACTTTTTTCCACGTCCTCATTGTTTGTGTGGATCAATTCCTTCCATTTCATGATTCACTTCATTTTCTCTATCTACACTTTCGGCGACGACTTCACTTCTTTCCACGTCCTCATTGTTTGTGTGGATCAATTCCTCCCTCAAGTCACTTTTTAAATCATCAACTTCATCACCCAACTCCATAACTCTATTTTTAATGAGTTCATCACTTACTGTTTTCTCATCAGCATATGGAAATCCCGTTTCAGCAAACACTACATCTCTTGATACAAAGTATTCATCAGCTTCTAAATCATACAATCTCCACCCTTTCTTTCCCAACGGATAACCAACAAAAATACACCGATGACTTCTACTAGCAAATTTATCTTTATCCCGATTCTGATTATGCACATAGCACAAACAACCAAAAATCCGAATATATTTGTAAGAAGGAGGTTGGCCAAAGATAATCTCATATGGGGTTTTACCGTTCAATAATATAGATGGAGTCCTGTTAATCAAATACCCAGCTGCGAGTACACATTCTCCCCAAAATTCTATGGGTAAATTTGCTTGGAAACGCAAAGCTCTTGCAACATTAAGGATATGGCGATGCTTTCTTTCCACTCGGCCATTTTGTTGAGGTGTTCCAACACAAGAAGTTTGATGCAATATCCCATGTTCATCAAAATATTCTTTCAAACACAAAAATTCACTTCCGTTATCATTTCTAACGATTTTCACATTTTTCTCAAATTGGCATTTAACCATCGCAACAAATTTCCTAAGAACACAAGCCACTTCATTTTTTCCATTCAGCAAATATATCCACACAGCACGAGAGTAATCATCAACAATTGTCAAGAAATAAATTGCTCCACATGAAGCTGGGACTCTATAAGGTCCCCACAAATCACAATGCATCAATTCAAAACAATCTTTAGCTTTATTGTCACTAGAAAAGAAGATCTCTCTTGTTTGTTTTGCTCTAAAACAAACCTCACAAGTTTTATTGGTTTTCCTAACCATTTTGCTAGCTTCTGGAATTAACTCCACCACCTTAGAAGAAGGATGACCCATTCTTTTATGCCAAAGTTCAAAGGATTCCATATCATCCACCTTGCAAGCATGTACCGAAGTCACTCCCTTGAGAAAGTAAAGCCCCTCGCGTTGCTCACCCGCTCCAATCAGGTTCCTCGAATTTAGGTCCTTTATAGCACATATTTTGTTAGTGAGTTGGATAACCAAATTTGAATCATTAAGAAGTTGTGATACAGAAATCAGATTGCATTTCAAATTGGGCACAAAAAGAACTCGTCGCAATTTCAAGTCTCCTCCAAGCAACACAGTTCCTTCTTTCACTGCCATGGTCTTTTCTCCATCAGGTAATTCGACTGAGCATGGCATAATGTCACGCAATTCTCTAAAAAATGCCAACATTCCTGTCATATGGTGGGAAGCTCCTGTGTCAATAATCCAAGGAAAAATACTCTGCTTACCTATCAACCTCTCATGGGCACCATTCTGATGAGAACTTAACATTCCTAGCAAAGTCACCCACTGCTCATCATTCAATCCACTAAGACCCTTTCGATCTGAATCCGTCACAACTCCTCGCCCACCATCAACTCCAGTTGCCTGTGAGACGTTGGCACGAGCACCTCCTCCCTTGTTTCGTCCACCTCTATTACCACGCTTTTGACCACTACCTTATCCAGCAAAGGTTCCACGTGGTCTATTACCCCACCATTCTGGATATCCTATCAGCTGGAAACAACTTTCAGCATCATGTCCCTCTCGGTTGCAATTAGAACAAAATGGGATTTTATCTTTATCCCCCCTTGAATTTTGACCACCTGCCCGGATTGCAAAACTCATGGGATTGCCTCTTTCATCCTTGGTTCGTGTCATAGTTCGCACTCGCTCTTGCTGAACAACCATAGCATAGACACGATTCAGATTAGGCAAAGGTTCAGTGCTCAAAATATTAGCGTGCACTGTTCCATATCCTTCTTTATCTAAGCCCATCAAAAACTGATGAACTCTCTCTTCTTCACGCTTTCTTTCCAATACAATGGTAAGATCGCATCTGCAACCTGTACAAACACACACTGGTATCTGATCATAGTTATTTATTTCATCCCATAAGGTTTTGAGTTTATCGAAATAAGACACGATGGGTTGACCATCCTGCCTACAATTGGCCAAATCCGATCTTAGTTGCTGCATTCGTGGACCATTCCCAATCGAAAATCTCTGCTTGATATCCTCCCACAGATCTTTCACATTCTCCATGTGAGAGATAGTCAAGCGAAGTGTCGGTTCAATGGTATTAAACACCCAAGAAACCAACATGGAATTAACCGTCCACCAATCTTCAAGTTCCAGTGAATCATCTGCTGGTTGCTTGACAGATCCATCAATAAAACCATATTTCTTCTTGGCTCATAATGCAGTCCGCATAGCTCGCGCCCATTCTTCATAATTCTCGCCCTTCAACTGAACTTGGGTAATCAGGTTACCCGGGTTGTCATTCGAATTCAGTGTGTAAGGACTAAAGGTTTTCTTGTCCGCTCCAGAACTCTCCTCATCGTTTTTTCCATCAGCCATGGCTCTGATACCATGTAAAAAAAACTGAGGAATTTTGGAATGAGAATTTTGTTCTTCATTGCCACAGAAACGTAACATATATACAAGAAGATATAGCTATCAAACAAACTCCTAATTAGGCTAAACTACTAAAAATACAAGGATCACACAATAAAAAGTAATAAAAGATGTGCACACAAAACTTCCTAAGTAAACGGCCTAAATAAACGGCCTAAATAAAAGCAGATCACGGCTACCTTTCCAATACGCTGGATCCTGGAAGCGGTTCCCTAAACTCTCTCTTTAATCCATGCATTAGATTCAATAAAATAACCAAATTACAAACATGGCAGGCCACTCACCCTGGGCAGTATCTATCCTCTGGTCAAACTAAATTGCACCG